CACTGACACAAGTCTACTTCCCAGAACTGCATATAAGGTGAGAAACAAAAATAAGGAAATAAGCAGTACTAAAATGTTTAAAATCTATGACAGAGTCTGTAGAATTGGACATTATGTAATTTGGATGTTGTGTAGACATCTGTTAGTAATCTGGAGTTCACAGATTTACTAACAAATTCCGCTGTGTTCTTATATCTATCTTTAAATTGAATTTGTAACCAAAGTTGAAAAATACAGTTTGTACTGAGCACCAACTAGCCAAATGCTTGTCTTTAAAAATTTATAGCATACTTTCTATGTATAAAAAAAAAATGCTATACACTATCAGATTTACCAAAACATAATACTTAATACAATAATAAGTTCTGATGGATGTATAGGCAGTCAAATGCTGACCAAATCATATTATGGGTGTACGATTGTAAAATCAAAGAAGGCTGAAAGAAAATGAAAATCAATTCATAAAATCAGCATAAAAAGAAAGTTCAAACTCATCATTGTTCCACGGAAACCAATTCCAAGTGGACGCTCTTGTGGGTTTCTGAAGCTGTAAATCACACGGTCGGAGAAAGCCCATCTCTCTCCCTCTTAAACGGCTGAGGGATTTAGCACTGAAGCAGCACTGTATGGACCAGGCGGCCCAAGCGCCTCAAGTATCATGAAAACAAACAGGTGAGTCAATAGCATTACTAATTCACTTGGGCCGGAGAGAGAGGTAAAAAGCTGGTTTAAGATTCCTCCCCCCACTTCTAAATTTCCTATTCAAGTTTACATGCATTAAGCCCTATTTTACCAAACTGTGCATATTCTTTGCAAAAAGTGTCAAATTACATAGAATAAAACACAACACTGTAAAACATGACCATGTAATTGCTTAAGTCTTCTGCTGTTAAGTAAATTCCACCAGTGAGTTACCAAGACAAGTCCACCATGGTTGGCAGAGGGCCAGCAGGGAAAAAAAGGGGGGGGGAAGGCTTTCAATGAGATGATTGACAGGAAGGCGCTGCATCAACGGGGTCAAATCCAGCAATGACTGTCAGCTGGTGTTGGCCCAGTCCGAGAATTCTGTAACACAGGAACAGACTCAACGGAACCTAACAGCAGCAGCACCTATTAACTTTATGTAAAACACTAACACATGTATATTTACAACTTTAAATGAAACCTCAGCTTCCACAAAATATGCTTTTAAAAATGGCTAAATACATTTATTAACTATTAGATTTTTCTACAGAGCCTCGCACATCAATGCAAAGTCCCAATAACGCCTAGTATATGTCTACCTAGTGAGTTGTGAGGAGTTTCTACATTCATTTTGGTGGTGTTGGTGGTTAAGTAGAACACTGATACGGTGGTGCTGAGTCAGTTCCAGGTCAGAGCAGTCCTATGTCCAACAGAACTCAACACTGCTCAGTTCTGAGCCATTTCTACAATCCAGATATTATTCCGCTGCTACTCCTCAGGTTTTCAATGGCCAATTTTCTGTGATCTGCCAAGTCCTCCTTCGTAGTCTTTCTTAGTCCGGAATGCCCAACAGATTCTGTTCACAAAGGGTATACAGCTGGCATCACCTCAACACACGAGACACCACAGTCATAACACAATAGATGAGTGGTGGTTTAACACCTCTCTATCCCAACTTTCTTCATCCTATATATCCAAGTGGGATTACATCTCGCTGAGATCTAACGGCTCTTTCCACCACCGTTGCCTAAATTCAGGCCTTGATCATATTTTACATGAACCTCTCTGATCTCCTTTGTCTCTAATCTCACAACCTTCAACCCACTGTCTACACAGCTTCCACCCTCCCCACAAACTTGCTGAAAATCAAATCTGATCTTGCAGTTCCCAACTAACAGTGCAATACTACAATAAAACCCCCACATCACAACACCCAAAAAATAACCATCCACCAAAAACAAACCCCCACTCAAACCAAATCCATGCCAATATTGGTTACTGCCAATATGAACTGCCCTCTTACAACTATGAAATATATATTGATATTTCAAAACCTAAACTGATCATTTAGTATGAAATAGACATTGATGTTTTAATTTAACCTTAACTTTAAAAGGCCAGAAATTCAAGGAATGAACATTTCCAGAGATGATGAAATTCCATTGTAAACTCAGTGAACTATTATCTAGTGAAGAGGCCTAACTGTAGCAATTCTAATGACTCCACAATGATCCCAATACATACTTAAATCAGAAACCTTCCTTTCTCTACTAATACACTACTAATAGTTGTTGTTACTGTTATGTGCCGTCGAGTCGCTTGCGACTCAAAGAGACCCTATGTACAAGAGCCCTAAATGCCGTTCTATCCTGTGCCAACCGCAGTGAGTGGATATATGGATATATCTGCATAATATCCTTCCAATCTATACAGCAATCCCATGAAATAATATTGATTTTACAGAACTAAAAAAAAAAAAAATAGCAAAATTAAACCTCTCAAGGCAAGAAAGTTAAGAATCTTTTCAAAAGTGAGCCTATGTGTTTGAACTCAGGCTGACTGACTACAGAGTCAAACCCTTTTCCAATTTGACCGTGTACGCCTCTTACAAATCACTTCTGAAGTATTGACTTACTCATCAACTTACATATTTGCGTCCCTTTTTAGACACAGTGAGTTCCTCAAAGCTCACTTGGATTTGATTGTCTAGTTAATCATCACGTGTTTGTTGAATGAATGAATGAAAGAGGGAATGGCACTCCAGGAGAACTGGTAAGGTAACTACGTCTGATTCAGTTCTTAAACCCTTGGACGGAGCTCTCAAGATGTTCTTGCCTAACAAATTTGGCTTGTAAATCACATCAAATTTACTGATAAATTTATCCCGGTATAATGTATTTTGGTATTGTTTTAAACGAAGAAGAATGGCATGAATAGTAAAGGAAAAAACCTTGAAAAAAACATTAAAATATAATTTTTCATTTACTCTCTATTAACTAGGGACTATCAAATACTAAAACTAATCTTTACAACACTTTCACCCTAAAAGAGGTGGTGATGATAATTATGTGGTTTCAAATAAAAAAGAACAAAAGGTATAGTGCCTCAATTAAAAATATATGGCAAAAAAACTGAGTCTGAACAATTTCTTGACCATCCACATAAGCCAACCAGTGAGCAATGCATCATGCACCATCCTAGCATTCTGCACGCTTTTTTCTAAAAGCAGTAGACACTAAAGGTAAGTCCAGAGCACTTGTCAGTACTCCTGTGTATAATAAAGGCAACATTCTGCCTACTGTGTCCAGTGTGCAAATCACAGCAAACTAGTTAGAGAGCAAATGTAAATAAAGCAGCAAAACTGGAGTTTTGCTTTTCATTTGCAGTTAACATATAACTCAAAGCGAAGATTAATCTAAACTGAAAAGAAGCAGATTTAGTTCAAGTCTTCCATTTTAATGATGTTGGTAGATGAAACACGAAGTTCGCATAATTCTATTACTACAACTTCCAGAAATAAATAAAGACCCAAAGAAGGGAAAAAAACCTAAAGCAACATGCTGTAGTGGAAAATACAATTTACTGGGCTTCAGAGCTCTGGTTACATTAGTTAAACTGCTGTGTGACTTCGGGCTCACTTTTCTCATTTAAAGGAAAAAGAAAATAAGAAGTGCGTGTGTTTGTGGAAGAAACTAATCTCTTCTCCACATTTCTGATTTTAAAGTCACTTTTCTTGTTTCATTCCCCTAAACAGAAAAGTCAAATTCCATTCTCTACAGTCTTAATTTCTGCAACCTGAAAGCACGTTTGAAACTGAATGTCAGGATTCAACCTCCAACTGGATGGGACTTGTTACCAGGAGTGGACTCCCATAAAGTTAACAATTAATCCGGTAACTTTCCAGAAATCGTCTAACCCTAACTTCTTGGGCAAGCAGGTGGAGTCCGGTGCGGCAGAGCAACCATGACCATGACCATGACCGAGGAAGGTTATAAAATGATACACAGCTGCTAGAGTTCTGCAGGTGTTTCCTGGGCCCCAGTGGCAGTCTCTCTCTGCAGGTGCTAACAAGCCAACAGGGGAAGAAAAAGGCTCGCGTTCCGACAAAGTCAAAACCCGGTTCAAGCCAGCCACCGCAGCAAGATGCAGCCAGACAAGGCCTACACACCACCGAGCTGAACCTCCCCACCCCCAGAAGTGCCAGCAGCCAATGTAATGAATGCTTCTTCCGTCAACAACACACATTCCCCTTCCCACAGCAGAACTGCTCTCCAAACCGGCCATCTGGGGTCGGAATGGGCCGCAGAGACTCAACCGAAGAAGCATTCTCATACCCAAGGGCCCCCAACTACTAGCAACTGCGGTAGCCCTGCGCATGGCTGCAGAGAGCGATGCACCCCCTCTTAACTCATGCCAAAAAAAAAAAAAAAATCAATCTCAGTTGCAGGGAGAGGCGAAACCGGGCCTGGGCGAGATTGCTGGAGATACAATCCCAGGTTGGCTGCAAAGGAAAAGCAGTAGCATTTCCTGCTCTCGCTGCAAAGCGCACAGAGCTCGGGAACCTGCGCTCCACTTCATTCCCTCCCGAGACCCTAAAAGGGGGGGACCAGAACCCCTATTCGGATCCGCTTCATTCATCTTGGGCCTCCTTCCCCCGACCCGGCCACTCGCGGAACCTTTGGCATTGTGAAGAAAGGCACACCCAGATCAAAGAGTAGGAGGTGAAAGCGAGGGCCAGGGAAGGGGCCCGGATCCGGGGAGCGCGCAGCTCCTGCAAGCGAAGCCCCTTAGGGCCTGCGAGCAAAGTTTGCACCAGCGGCCAGGGCAGGCGGGGTCCCGGCCCCGCGGGCTGCAGGGCGGGCCTGCGGAGGTGACACTGTCCGGCGAAGCGGCCCGCACCGGGGCCGGCCGGAGGCCTGGTGGCCGCGGAACCCCGGGCGCCGCTCCCGCCTCCTGCCCCACTCCCACTTCCCCCACCGCGGCCCTCCGCCCCGGGCGGCAGGAGCGGGGTGGGAACGCGGATATCGGACACTGACCACACATTTCTTGCCGAGGAAGGTGAAGAGGGACTCGTTCTCCTGCGGGGTGAGCAGCAGGGACCCCACGTTGGTCACCCTCCGCGGCGGCGGCGGCTGCTGCTGCTGGCCGGAGCTCATGGTGTGGCCGGCAGGGCTGCGAGTGCAGGGTCGTCTCCTCCGGCGAGTGGGCGAGCGCGGGTCTCCCCTCTCGGTGACAGGGCGGGGAGGAGGGGAGTCAGAGGTGCAGCATCTCGCAGCTCCTCCGGCGCGGGGAGGAGGAGGAAGACGAGGAGGAGGAGGAGGCCA